TAACATATTTTCTCAATGGGAACGTATTACCCTCGAGATTGTATCGATAACTTTTTCGTCTTCATTTATGGCTTTGTTAGTCATGAACATTGATCGTTACTTGTCTGTAACAAAGCCATTATATCACAAGACGAACGTCAGCAAACGAAAACTGCTTTTGCTGTTTATAGCACTAGAATCTGTACATGTCATAACAACTGTATTACACACAGAGGAGCTTGCTTATCCAAGAGAAATAAATGCTGTTATATTTATGGTTTTGTTTCTGCCGCCGATGTTATTTATCAATTATAAACTCCTGCGGTTGTCAAGAAAATATCGCAGGTCTAATGTCAAAAATCGTGAGAAGAAGGCAACATCTACCTTGAAGCAAATTTCAATTTGTTTGATGGCATTTGCAAGTATAATTGTTTTTTCCATTCCTATGCTCATGTTCATCGTTTACAACATGTTTGTAACAGAAATCAAATGGACAAACGTTGTCGAACTTTGGCTGAAGACAATTTTAACAATGAATTCGACGTTTAACTGCTTGATCTTTTTTTGGAAAAACACAATTTTACGAACAGAAGCATTTAAGATCGTTAAAACTATACTAGGGGTTCATTAAGTGCTTAATGTGAGCTTATAGTCTTTTAGTGTCCATGGATATTCTTCAAGATTATACAGTAAGATACAATATTTTGAAATATTCTTCCTATAAAACGTTTTTGTTTGTTTAACGTTAATTACGTTTCATACTTAGCCTATTTGCACATGTACACTTAATGAAAATATTGTAGTATAATAATGCATGAACCATATAAATGAAAACTTCTTCATACTTATAATAAATGAAATATAGATAAAAAAAACCCACCTTAAAAATGTGAGATGTTGTGAAAACATGCGAGACTTTACTTTTAAAGAACTAACTCGTTACAAAAAGGTTAAACGAATACTCTTTGATAACTCATTTGAAGTTTAGTCTTAAAATATTTTCATAATAACAAGGAATAAGGAATATAACAAGAATATATTATATATAATATAATATATATATATATATATAATATATATATAATATATATTATATATATTATATATATATATATATTATATATATATATTATATTATATAAGGAATATAATATATGTTATCTTTATATATATATATATATATATAAAATGAACTTAAAATGGACAATTGTTTGCTGTCGTCAGAGTTTCACGCCGTAGGGCGATCTTGATCGCCCTACGGCGTGCTGAGTAGCGACAGCAAACAATTGTCCATTTTATTTTAGTTCATTTATCTTACGCTCTTCTAATATATAGAATATTGAGCGCTCTTTTATCCAGGAATATTATCCATAATAATATATATATATATATATATATAAAGATAACATATATTATATTCCTTATATAATATATAATATATATATATATAATATATGTTATCTTTATTTTGTTTCATATTTTCATATTTTCATCTTAGGATTAAAAATTGGGGAAAAAATATTTTTGTAGAAAGTAATTCCATGAAACGAAAAGGCAAGAAACCGTTTCGTGAAAAAGCATAACTATAGTCTTCGTTAAGTCTTATCATTAAATGCGCGATGTGTTAATGCAAGAAAGAGTATCGTGAAAAAGATCAATTATAGGTATTTTGTTCCTTATTTTCAATAATCGACATTGGACATCTTGGAACATGTGAAAGTTTTTGTATGTTTTTTTCTTACAAGTCAGTTACGATTAGAAAAGTTGCGTCTTTGTTTCTTTGCATGTGGAGTATCAAAATTCATCGTTAGTGTATAGTTTTGCGTTTAATAAAACATTGTTCTTACATAGAAGGCGCTTTTAATCAATTCCTTGTTCGTACAATAAACGGCATGATGGACCCCTTGCAATTTAAATTGACTAAGTAGAGTTTGACGTAAATGGCCTCATACTGATAGGTATCAGCTGTGTAAATTGCGTTGTTTTAAATCGCTAAAATGTTTATGAAGTATAAAATACGTGAAAGCTAACTAGGAATTGTTTTTTATTTTGAAAGATGTAGCGTAGCTATTTTTTACCCATGACTAATGCGTGTTGTACGACGGAACGTCGACAAACGGTATATGTAAAATTACATGGGCAGTAGTTATTTTATGTCTATGTGTTGTAAGAATAATAAATGCGAGAAAGTTAACGGATGATTGAATTGTGCTTTATGTTTGCATTGGTATGTAAGAAAAAGTTTATATGCATGGTTTTAGCGATCTCTCTGCACTTAAAAACTGTATTTTTATGAAAGGTAATATTATCTTAAAGCAATTGTCCATCTGGTTTAAAGGATGTTGTTAAAGATGGAAATCTGAATGGGAATAGAAAAGAAAATTAAAATTACAAATTTAATGAACAGATGCTTTCTTCTAAGGAAGCTTTTTTTTTTCTTCTGGGGATCTTTAGCATAAGACTTTGGGATATTTTATTGAGAAGTAATATTTTAAATGAAGATATGATCAAACACCGCACTGCATATAACAAGTAATATTTTATCAGTCTTTTATTGACAACTATAATTTGCAGTTTGTATGAAAGAACTACATGATTTTTTTGTGCGAGAAAGACTTCTTTACCGAACATGTAGAAAATTAAGAAAACTTTAATGGAAAAGTAAATTTTTTAAGTTGTATATAGTACATTGATGATTGTCATAAGTGGTATAGTTGAGCAGGTGCGTCACTGAATAACTCTTAATTATTAGCGGAAGTTTAGGAAGATTGCGTTTTCGTCATAAAATACTTTCTATTGTGTTTTGCTGAGGTGTTGGCATATAGTTGAAACACGAATTTATCATTACACAATTTATACATTTGTTTCTTTGTGTGTGAGGAGAGGTATTATTAATATACATGATGTATTTGTGTATTTATTTTTATCCTATTTGAAGAATGTTGCAAACGATGGAAGTGCAATAGAGAAGAAAATTAGATTTACAAATGTCATCATTAAAAAATGTCAAATTACAAATGTCATCGTTACGAAAATGCTACTTTACTAATAATTCTCATTTAAAGCAAAAGTTTGCCGAAATTTTTATAAAATAATATCATCTTCGGAAGACGATAAGGTTCCATGCTTTTGTAGTGAAAACTATATAAGGTTAAGAGATCTATATTTTCTATTGAGATCTAGTGGAAGTATCTTGCTGGAAGGCGTGTCTCCTTAGAATTTGCTTCAAAAAAGCAGGGGACAGTAACATCAAAAGTTCCGACACAAGTGTACCTTCTGTTAAGATATTTATTCTGTAGTTTTTGCGTAAAAATTTGTGAAAATGCATGAATTATAGCTTTTTTCTAAAAATAGGTGAAAATGCATGAATATGTGTGAATTATAGTCTTTATATAAAAATGTGTGAATTATAGTCTTTGTGTGAAAACGTTAAAATGTGTAAAAATGTTTAATCGATTACACTGTATGGTATTACATAATTACAGAATTACACATCAATTTTCACATTTTTTAGCAACAAGACAATAATTCATGCATTTTTAAGAAATTTCACATTTTATCACACAAAGACCGTAATTCATGCATTTTCACAAATTTTCACTTTTTTCACACAAAGACTATAGTTCATGCATTTTCACACATTTTCACGCCATAGCCTTTATTCTTTACATTTTCACACCCTTTCACACCAAAGAATATAGTTTGCATTTTCACACACTTTCAGACCAAAGACTACAGTCTTTGTATTTTTA